TGGGCCGGCTCGCCCACAACAATACCACAACCACACAGAAGACAGGCGTGAAGTGGAAGCAATTCCGCGTACAGTCTGATGAGTGTGGTGCCGGAGGCCTAAATTTAGTTCATTTCCCTTTCTACCCTTCTCGTAAGAGGTAAGGATGGGAAGGATAAATGGATCTGACGGTGGAGAAGACGCATAGGAAGGGGAAATATCCTTTTTATATGCGTCTCCGTTGTTTGATGGCGTTGATTAATGGTAGGCAACTCATCTGCAATTGCGGATGTCTATGGGCAGCGGTCGCTTTCCATTTCGGTGGATTCAGGTGGCCGCTTGCTCGTTTGCCACTTGATGAAAAAAAAAACCGTTTGATATTTTGACCGACTGCCCAAAAGAAGCCCAATTCGTCTGTATGTTTTTTTACTTAGAAATCGGTTCAGCCGTTTAGGCTACAAACATCCATGCATCCAAACTTTCGCATTTATAATATTAGTGAGATTTCAAAACTGTTTCAGATCGAGGAGCCCCGCGAGCAGTTACCAAGTCATGCCAGTAGCGGCGAGCGCGACTTGCTGGCGCGCATGTTCGCCAAGCACGACGTGCGCGAGACCTCCTACCACCTGCTGGCGCCCAGGATAGACCTGCACCTTTGTGATGACCCTGGATGTGAGTCACATTCAAAACTAACTGTTTTTTAAAATACTTACTACTGTTCATTGAAAATATCTTGTAGTTGAATGATTGTTAAAAAATCCCGTTTATTCCTAACTAATGGTTTCGTTAAACACATTTTATGACGTGATTCTTTGTGTTTATTTTAAACTAGCTTTTCCCATGTATATAGACTTGTGTATATTCGCTTGACATTATTTAATCTGTATTTTATTGTTTACTATCATATAATATTCAATTGAAATTTCAAAATCAAATGCATAAATGATATAGAAGAATCTTGCCATTGGCTGAGAATTGTTTGAGTAACCATGGTAACCTTTTTTTGTTCCTGCAGTATTTCAGTTTTTTCCCCTTCTCCGCATTACGATTTATCCTTAAAAATAGCGTGAAAATAAAGGCTTGTTCTGTTTACTGAACTAAATTTACCTAACCAGTTAGATTGCAAGATTTTTTCCGTTTTCGTAACGAACGGTAACATAGTCTAGGGTGACAATCGCCTAGTCACCCTTACTTTGGGTAGGCTCCGAGCCCCTCGGTGGGGATGTATAGTGAGCTGGTGATGATGATAGATGATCATCATCATTAACTTGCCCTTATCCCTTAGGGAAGGTCGGCACAGTATGTGCTGATCCATACATCTCTATCAGCCGTCATATCTGAATCCACTCCTATCTTAAGCATATCCTCTTTCACACAATCCATTTATACTTTCTTCGGTCTTCCTCTACCTGCCTTGTAGCCATTGTTGAAGATGACAGATAGATATGGAAGTATTATGAAAAAAGACGGATACTTGATTTTTTTGGTCTAGTGGGTCGTTCAGAGATGCCGTCGCTGGCGAAGGGTGGTGCGCTGCAGGTGACGCTGGTCAGCATGCAGGCGGACCTCTTCCCGTACCATAAGGCATCTGATGATAGGAGACATTGGAGGGGATATAGGTAAATATACATATTTGAGATATACATACAGAAGTACAATCAGGGAAACTGGCGGTATACTATCCAAAAAGATTTAGGGCCTGTCCTACCACTGGATGATAGAGGCTCAAATAACTTAAAAATTACGTCACTGTCAGATAGGGAAACAAAATCTGATAATTCCATCACATTTACACTAATATTTGTATTTTTGTATGTATTGAAATAACTCAAAAACTTTTTAAGTTTTTTTTTAAGTTTACTGGGTCGATTTTTAAAATTTTTTCACCGTCAGAAAGGTAATTTATCTGTGAGTAACATAGGATATTTTTTTAATTTCATGCGGGCGAAATCGCGAGCAACAGCTAGTATTTTATACGTTGGATTATAAGACAATATACAATTAGGTGGGACAGGCCCTTAGTTGTTTGAACGTTTTGTACACGTTGAGATGGCTATACGGAAGATTATTATTTAATTTCAGTTACCTTAAAAACATTAGTAACCCAATGACTAAATGGACCAGATATGAGTATTTTTGTGTCTGTTCGATTTTCGCCATTTTAGCACTGACAGTAGTAGAATACGAATTTAATAAATGATAGAATTTGTTGTAACATCAACAAGCGCTTTTAAGTCTGGACAAAGGAAAAATTGTATTTTCAAAGCCATTTAGAGATTTAGGAAGTTAAAGAAGACAAAAAGCCTTAACTATGCTTTGCTACTCATTTTTGACATAGATTCATTTATATTCACTGTCTAATTTAAAATGACATTAAATCAACAGTGTTGCTTGTAAAAAAATATTTATTCCGATAAGATGCACTTGTACACATATAATATTTGCTAAACCCACTCTTAGTATGCTTTTGGAATTATTTCTGTGTAAAATGACTCTAATGCATGTAAATGTTGGCATGTTTCAGGGAAGCAGCAACACCACACAGCCAGTGGCTATCACAGGCTTTGTCGACTTTCTGCACGACATTGCTGGACACATTAGACCCTAGACCCTTAACACCAAGTAATAAGGTATATTTTTGTTTGCATCTTTTGTCTATTACTAGCAGATTTTTACTATGGCAACACAACCACGTTTTATTTCATTTATCATTGTAGACTATTATTATTATTTTATGCTTAATCTACCTTCTAATACTTAAGTCGGGAATATGTTAAATTTTGTAGTTTTTAAAAGTTATAAATTATGAAAGTAAAATTAAATGATTTTTTTTATGTAAATTTACCAACACTAAATTTTTAATCTTACTAAATATTATCTATCCTTCCAAGATCCATTCTTTTAAGAAGAAAATTAGTACCGTGCTGTAGAAGTGGCGCAACACTAGATTATCGGTATAAACGTCACATCCCTAGCTGACAGCTGTCAATGTCATTAGAACGATTGATGTTTCGCGCGCATTTCTGACGGGATCTCTAGTGGAGTGTTTAAATTAATATCACTAGTTACAATTATATTATTTGTTTAAAAATACTAACACCACAATGTATATTTTTTACGTTTTGTAATTATTTTTTTTATGGAATTAATAAATATAAATAAATGTTGAATTGCAGCAAAGTGAAGAGAAGGCAGAAGCGGCCGTGTCTAACGGCGTCAACCACAAGGCGACTGCGGCCTCGCCCACTGCCAATACTCCGTCCAATAATGCTACTTCACAAGGTAAATACATACATACATACATACATACATATATATATACATACATACATACATTAATTATCATATAGCTCTCTGTTGTGTATAGAGAGGGTTGTTTAGTCGGTAACGGGACTCATGTTAGGTTAGGTGAATACTAATGAGCCTGAGTCTGACACACCAGGCATGTAGCTCCCATGTCTGATGGTGCTGTAAAGCATTTTTCCCTCTATAAAAAAATAGCTATCTGTTATGTGACTCCGTATGAAATAATAAAAGAAACTTAGCCAACATACCCACCAATAATGTATTTGATGGTGAAAGGTTTTTTTTTAAATCGGTCCCGAAGTGAGTTCATTGTATACATACAAAAAAACAAAGTTTTCCTCGTTATAATATTAGTATAAATGGTTTTAACGTACGTATAATTTATATCGCATGAATATCGAAATTTCGTTATATCTTGGTAATCTTACTTTATATGAAATGCGAAAGTTAAGATGGATGGATGTTACACGGTATCTTAGAAACGGCTGAATAGATTTCGCTAAAATTTTGTATAGATGTAGAACATAGTCTGAAAGGACAAATATTTAATTTAGCAGTGGCAAAATAAATTTTGCAGTTGTAGTGCCCGTTTAACATCTCAGCACTGCAGGGCCGGCACGCCCGGTGTAATACCACGACCACACAGAAGACAGGCGTGAAGTGGAAGTAATTCCGTGTTTCGTCTGATGAGTGTGGTGCCGGAGGCATAATTTAAGTCCCTTATTCCTTACCACCCTTTTCTCATAAGGAGAGAATGAGAAGGGGAAGTGGATTTGTCAGTGGAGGGGATGCATAGGAAGGGTAAATGTCCTCTTTATGTGCGTCTCCTCCTCCGTCGGATAAGGGTAGGCAACGCATCTGCAATTGTGGATGTCTATGGGCAGCGGTCGCTTCGCCATTTTGGCGGATTCAGGTGGCCGCTTGCTCGTTTGCCACCTTATGTTATAAAAAAAAATACTATTGTTTTTTAATTCTAGGACTAAAGCCTAAATGTGTCTAAAAAACCAACTATGTTCATATAAAAAAATATTAATTTCATATTGAAATATTCCAGCTTCCCCGACACGTACAAGAATACTGCAGCAACTCAGCAAGTTGATGACGACCTGCCTCGTGCTTAGGATAGACGATTTTACTGTAAATAAGGTAATATCTAATATCAAATTATTAATCTATTGGAATTTCGAATCCTTACAATTTAAACTTTAGTGTTTTTATATGTAAGTACAGTCGCGGAAATTCGCGGTGTTCCACTTTAGGCAAAATGTTCATTGCAACGAGACAAATTCACCTCTAATTAGATAGCAGTAAGTGCAACCGAAGGGATTATATAAGAACTGGTCATGTATCCCTAACTAATTTTTTTCGTAGACACATTTATAAGCTGATTTGTATTGAATTTTTTCCGCGACTTGTATCAAATTTTGGCTGTTAAAGAACACCGTCAGTTTCCCCGATTGTACTCTGACGTAATCACATCCATTATGCAACTTACGTGGTATAGGCGTGTAATTTTATGAAAACCTTATTTTGTTTTTCATATGTACTGTGACGTCATTTTAGTGGCAAACAAGCAAGCGGCCACCTTGATCCACCGAAATGGAAAGCCATCGCTGCCCATAAACATCCGCAATTGCAGCCTTTCCTACCCTTCATTGACGGAGGAGGAGACGCATAAAAAGATGACATTTTCCCTTCCTATGCGTGTCCTCCACCGTCAAATCCACTCTTTCCTCTTAAGGGTCGAAAGAGACAGGGACTAAAATTACGCCTCCGGCACCACATTCATCAGACTTTAAGCGGAATTGCTCCCACTTCACGCCTGTCTTCTGTGTGATCATGGTGTTACACCGGGCGAGCCGGCCCATTCGTGCGAAGATTATTATTTTGTTTTTCGTATGTACTGTAACGTCATTGTTTATTATGTACTGTGACGTCATTATTGTTTATTTGAACTGTTTTGAAGGTATCAACAGGGTCGAAGTCCCGCGAGCCGGCGCGGCCGCTGGTGAGCGCGGAGAAGGCGACGCTGCCCGGGGACGCGGGGCTGCTGCACGCAGAGCTCACCTTCTTCTATTACCCTGGCGATGTATGCTTCCCTGGTAGGGTTAGATATCCATACCTTGTCGATTTTTATTCATTTTGGTGTAAAAGCTTAGAAATTAGTTGTTTTGTTATTGAAATCCCGAACTATTATCTCTTACCAAGTTTCCACTAAGTGAATGTTGAAATTATTCTTAAATACTTCGCATTGGACTTATAATCTGTCAAATGTCAAATTAATATATTAATTTGGAGATGCGTGGTCTTGTAATTTAAGACTTTTTATATGATATATTAGCTTTTGACCGCGACTTCATCCTCGCGGAATTAAAAAAAACAAGTGCATATGTCCTATGTGTTCTTCCAGACTGTCCTCCACATCTATGCCAAATTTCATCGAAATCCGCTCAGCAGTTTAGGCTACAAACTCTAACAAACATACATCCATCTAAAATTTCGCATTTACAATATTTGTATGATTTAAATGGTCCAGTCAGATTTAAAAGATCCGTTGGGGTCTGCTACGAAGTTTCTTGACGAAGAAAATGTTCTCAAAAATTAATCAATCCTCACATTTGCTTAATGTTTTAAAGGCTGATTGCAAAGTAAATCTAAAAAAATGTTTCAGTATTCGGCCATGAGTACAAATTGTTCAAAAAAAAAGTTGGTCCTTCGAGTCGGACACAAATATTTTATAATTTCTCTTTCCAGTGCCATCTCCGAAGTTATACGTGCAGTTGAGTCCAGTCCGCGTGTCAGTGGACGTGGCCAGCGTGGTGTGGCTGTCCGCGTTCCTACCGCACGTGGCACGTGCGCTGGCTTCGGCTGCGGATGACCAAGCCAGTTACATTGATGTACGCACCGAGGCTATTATGCCTAAGGTTAGTAATACTTTGGTCTTTTCGTATCTTAACCCTTAGTGTGATGAACTAATTTAAAAAATCTACGGAACTGGTTTAGTTAAAAATACGTGATATTTTGAATTTAGTGTTGGTAACATTTTTGCTACAAAACTCCGTTGAATTAAGGGTTCATGATATAACACGTGGTTTGGTCCTCCAGGTCCTGTCCTCTATGATCTACTTTCTGATATAAACGCGAAAGTTTAGATGGATGTTGTAATTTGTAGCCTAAGTTGCTAAACGGATCTCAATGAAATTTGATATAAATGTAGAGCATAGTCTGGAAGGACACATAGGCTAGTTACTTTTGTTTTTTTTTTCAAATCCGTCGCATGCAGGTTTGGAGGTGAATTTTCATATTTCATACTAATATTATAAATGCGAAAGTTTAGATTGATGGATGTTTGTTAGAATTTGTAGCCTTAACAGCTGAATCGATTTCGATCAAATTTGGTACATATGAAAAACACATAGGCTAGTTACTTTTTTTATTTATTCTTTGCATACAGAGTTGCAGGTAAATTATATATGAATGTAATATAGAGATTTTGTTCCAGTTAGTGCTGGAGGCGGGGCCTGAGCATGTATCTCAGCAGAGGGACCGCCCCAAGGAGCTGCACATTTGCACCGCGCGCGCCACATTCACTAATGTTAGGGAATCGCCTAGATCTAGTAAGTTATTAGTATATACTAGCCAGAAATTATTTTATTGTCGAATGAAACAACCTTTTAGTAGATTCAATTTTAGTCCCTTTTCCTTTCCATCCTTTTTCTCATAAGAATAGGATGGAAAGGGAATATGGATTTGACGGTGGAGGAGACGCACATAAAGAGGATATTTCCTCTTCCGTCGATTAAAGGTAGGCAACGCCTCCGCTATCGCGAATGTCTATGGGTAGTGGTCCCTTCGCTATTTTGGGGGTTTCAGGTGGCCGTTTGCTCGTATGTCATCTTATAATATAAGAAACGCGTATATTTGTGATGTTTTGTAAATACATATGTCTACAGCTGGCTGTACATGTAACTTCCAGACACGGCGGGTACTCGCGCAGACCTCGCGTCTATAATATCCAGCGTGCGGGGAGCGGCGCCGCGCGCGGGGCAGTTCCCCTGCGCGTCGGGGGACCTCGACCCCGTGCATGAACAGTTCCTGCTGCACGCTGATAGTATGTTATATTTCATTAATATAGGTTTTTAATTGCATACTAACATTTCACCTGACTTAAAAATGTTAAGTATCTGTTCTTACACAATGTTCTGCTTTTAAAAAAATGCTGTCGCTCACGACTTCGTCCGTGTTGAATTAAAAAAAGCAAAAAGTACTGAGTTCTTTCATCTATGCCTAATTTCATCTATACGTTCAGCAGTTTAGGCTACAAACTCTTACAAACCTCCATCTATTTTCGCAATTATAATGATAGTAAGAGATTATTATGTTATTCACTGATAATGTAGCTTTTAATGGTGAATTTTTGAAATTGGCCCAGTAGTTTTTGAATTTTTTCAATACTAGCTTTCGTCCGCGACTCCGTCTGCATGATATTAAAAAAAAAAACAAAAGCGAGTAGTCTATGTGTTCTTCCAAACTATCCTCTACGTCTATGTCAAATTTCATCGAGATCCATTCAGTCGTTTAGGCTACAAAAAAACATCCATCCATCTAAACTTTCGCATTTATAATATTAGTAAGATATATATTGTATGTGTTTAGACCTGGACGACATAGACCGCGGCAGCGCGACCACGCCGGAGCTGGTATGGCGCGAGAGCCGCGCGGTGTGGTGCGCGCGCGTGGAGCCGCTGTGGGCGGAGCTGTGCGGCGCGCGCGCCACCAACTACAAGCCCGCGCCGCTGCTCGACGCCACGCCCCTCACCGCATGGGTAACGCCCACTTATTGTAACAAGCTGTTCCCACCTCATCAGAATTACTATATGCATTTTATTGTTAACATTCTGCATTGTAAATGTCAAAATTCAATTGCATTATTAACAACGAATATTTATGAGTAACCATGGCAACCTGTCACTTATACTACTATAGGCTTGTAGATCTTGTATGTTAATAGCGTTAGTAGCGTTAATAGCGTGTAAATGTATATCCTATATACTCGTAAGTGTAAAACTTTTTATTAAAAAAACACTATTTAAATAGTATGGTGTGATTGCTGACATCTTAAGTAATAAAGAAGTCTACATTTTGTCATATTAGTACTAAATCAGTGTACCATCTGGAATCCTAACTATTTACGACATAAAAAGTAGCCTATTTGTTCTTTTAGACTATCCTCTGCATCTATGACAATCATCGAGATCCGTTCAGCAGATTAGGCTACAAACATCCATCCATCCAAAATTCTTGTTATCATTGTTTTTTCAGGTGTATTTCGAGGAGGGTTTCTCCCGCATCTGGGTGATAGGGCGCACGTGCGGGCTGGCGGGGCTGCAGCTCAACCACTACCAGCTGCTGTTCCTGCTACGCACGCTGGAGCGCGTCTCCGAGATGATGGCCTGGCTCGCGCATGATGCTGCACGGCAGCCTGAAGGAGATGATGGGTGAGGAACTAGATGATGGCTTTTTTTATAATATAAGGTGACAAACGAGTAAAAGACCACTTGTATCCGCCAAAATGGCGAAGTGACCGCTGCCCATATATCCGCAATTGTAAATGCGTTGCCTACCCTTAGTGGACGAATGATAAGACGCACATAAAGAGGATATTTCCCCATCCTAAGCGTTTCCTCCGCTGTCAAACCCATTTTCCCTTCCCATCCTTTCCTTTTAAGAAAAGGGGTCATTTTTTAACAATGATTTATTTAGTGTTTATTTCGTAGGTCAATAGTGGTTGGCATCGTGGTGCCAGCGGTAGAGTTAACGCTAGTGCTGCCCTCCAACTGCCCCGGACAGGAGTCTTCCAGGGACCTCGACAGCGTGCCTTTAGATTCTTCTAGTCTGCAAGACCTTAAAATGGGTAAATTGTCATTTTTCTAACTAGTGTTAAGAAAATTGGCGCAACACTAGAGCAGCGGCATAGCGTTCCGTCCCTAACAGCTGTCAATGTCATTTGATATAATTAAGACTAGCTGTTGCTCGCCACTTTGCCTGTGTGTAATAAAAAAAATGTGCCTTGTTACTCACAGAAAATGACTTTTTAAAATCGACCCAGTAGTTTTTGAGTTATTCAATACATAAAAAAATACGAATCTTTTCTCTTTGTAATATTTATTATATTCTGTGAAAATCATAGATTTATTACGTTTAGGTTCAGAGTCGACAATGGCGCCCTCTATGCAAGACCGTGACAGTGCTGTTTTGTCTCTGCCCGCCCCTATAGAGATCTGCAGCGCGCAGCCTCTGCCAGCTGAGGAGGTACCACCCAGTCCAGGGATCACCTTTGGAGGTTAGAATCAAATATCCTAATTATTTATGCTGTATTTATCTACATACTAGGTGTGCCCGTGCGGCTTCATCCGCATGAAACTATGAAAATTTCCTTTTTTTGTTTACATTTGTCAAATTATCTATAGCAAATGTCAAAATGACATGACATGATGACAAACTATTGCAAACTTACTTCCTTGATGTTGGCAGCTTATATTTTATGGTTCCTTTCCCACATTAGGGTTTTTATTTATCCCCTAAGTATAACAGCGTGAAAATGTATAGCTTAAAGCGTGACTAAACGTAGGGCTTTTTATTAAAAAAAAATATTCAAAAATATGGTGTAATTGCTGACATTTTAGGCAACAAAGAAGCGTGTGTTTTACTAGTAAGCTTTACTATTATATATTTAGAAATAAAATTTATCTTCTGTATTGTTGACTTAGGTTTCTCGTCAATGCGTCGCGGTCTGACGTCACTAGTGACGTCACTGGACGCGCTGGGGCGGGACGACTCCCGCAGCGACGCCGCGTCCACCGCCAGCTCCGACAGCGAGCGGTACGTGCTGGTGGGGCTGGCCGCGGAGTCGCCTGATGATGCTGATGTCGCCTTCAGGTATACCTTCAATCCTCACACCCTTCACCCCTCACCACACACCATCCACTCTGCCTCTATATGCCATCACCACTTGATTTTCGACACTTTGGTGATTAAAAGAAACTTAAAAAATGTCAGTAACTTGCCATTTTGCGGATTAACATGGAATTAATTTACTTGAGTGATAAAATAAAGATGGTGGTTGAAGCCGTTATGCTGTAATTATACCTTTGTTAATGCCACTTTTAAATAATTTGCTTTAGTATTTGTTGATATATTTCTTCTAAATCTTACTAATATTATAAAAGTGAAAGTTTAGATGGATGTTTGTTAAAGTTTGTAGCCTAACCTGCTGAACGGATCTCGATGAAATTTAGCATAGATGTGGAGTATAGTCTGGAAGAACACATAGTCTACTTTTTTTTTAAATTCCACGCGGACGGAGTCTAGGGCGAAAGTTAGTCTTTTTTTATTTACTCTAAATACTACTTTTAGTAGTTCTTGTTTTGACATCCGCCATTTCGATAGTAGACATTTAGGATTTTTTATACGAGGTCTATAAAAATGAAATAAACACTGTGTTATTATAAAATGTGTAACTTGTCAGGGAGTTCGAGCAGGGGCGCATGTCGAGCGGCGTGGAGGTGGCGGCCGAGGTGGTGGAGCGCTCCTCCTCCCCCAGCGACCACTCCCTCGCCAGCTCCTGCAGGAGGCGAGACCTGGTCAGTTCCCAACTTTACACATTCAACTAAATTCATAGAAATATCACAGCATACTTCCAGTTCATATTTTAGTAAATTATTCAATGTTTGCGTCTCTTTCTCTCAAGACCATTTAGATTCAGAAAAATTGAGTGTTTTTTCTATTTTCTCATGCTTTGTTTACTTTGTAACAATTTTACTTTTATACGTGTGTTTATTTTAAGAATGTTTGAGAAGTGTTGCTCTTTGTTTTCTATATAAATGACTTCGTCCTTGCGGATTTAAAAAACTAGTAATAAATATAGTCTATGTTGCTCAGTAAGCTTTCTGAAGGGGAAATAATTCAATCTCTGTCAAAAAAAATTGTTACAGATGTAAAACATTATCTAAAAGAACACATACTAGTTATTAAATTATTTTATTTCACGCTGACGTAGGTATAGGCTAACATCAATCTATACTATCATAATAGACCGTAAACACATACTTCTTTGTTGCCTAAGATGTCAGCAATTACAGCATATTTTTGGATAATTCTTTTACTAATAAAAAGCCCTACACTTACCTCACGCTTTAGGCTATATATTTTCACGCCATTAAACTTAGGGGATAAAAACCCTAATATGGGAAAGAGACCATAAGTTGCTGCCAGCATCAAGAAAGCCATATTGCCATAGTAAGGTAATTGGTATTTTGACATTTGTAATTGAGAATTTGACAAATGCAAACAATAACGCGAACAGCTAGTATAAGTATATATTTCAATTTTTTTTATAGATATCAACGTGCACGTGGCGTCTGAATAATATCCATTTAGTGCAACAAAGTGCAAACGGTAAATCTTGTTTGCGTCTCGCCGCTGACGACCTCACTACTGACGAATGCGCGGCAATACCGTGGGATGAGTTCCAGGTATGACATGTTAAAATACACTCTAATGTCATATACATAAGACTCATTTTACTTCAACTCAAATCTCTTATACAAGTTTCACACCTACATTCTAAAATGTACTCTAACTTCTATGAAATAAGACTCATTTGACATTAACTTTATCAAGGATAATGCAAATATGACTTGATTACGTCAAGTCTTAAACATTTACCTCCATACGTTTTCTTGAATTCAATTTTTTTTTATCTCAACACATTGTAATTTCTATTTTAAGAACATTTTTAATAACCTGAATATATGTTTTTTACATATTTTTCTTCGTCAACACTTACGTTAAATAACACATTTTTGTCAAAAAATTTGATGTTTTTTTATTTTTTAATTGATTATCCCAGCATGTTCGAAATCAAAACGTATTTTTTTAATTCTTTCCTATCTAGTCATCTTCATTATAATTTTATCTATAATATCGTCATATCTGAAGTTTTTGTTACTTTAATTATTAAAAAAAACTAAGTTTTTTACACAGATTTTTTTAACGTCTTGAATCTGTCTGCGAATATAATGTTGCTGATAACGAAAACTATTTTTTTAAAGCCGCGTTTGTTCCGTATTATCTCCGGAACGGCTTAATCGATTTTATCGGAACTTCGACAGAAAAGTAGCTTATTTACACGAGAATGTTATAGGAAACTTTTTTTTAAGTTTCTCGACTTTATCGCGAGCGCTCACTAATTATAGATATGACGATATTTTGCATGTATGTGTTCATATCACATCCCATTGTAATTAAACTGCACTTGTATTAATACTATTGCTATCTCTTTCTCACACAAAATCCAAACAATATGTATTAATACATCACTGCAGTCGAATTCTATTTTTAATTATAAATAATAAAATGGTGCATCCGTTTTTTTTCTTAACTCTGTTGTCTATGTGTTTTTTTTCTCTGGCAACTCCCGGCTCGGCTCGCGACCATAGATACGGCTCAAGGTACATTAGCGGTTGTTGGACCGCTTTTAGTTGACTGCGATAGTTTGTAGCGGTTTGTGTCCTAGCCAAGGGGGTTTGTCTGTGGATGACTGAGACGGAAAATGTTTCCCTCTCATTAAAAGATTCTTTAACCCTTGAATACGTAAATCCTAATCTTGAAAAAATAATGTTTAATGCAAGATCGGTAATGTAGAGTAAAAATAATAAAAAAAGTAACATCCATATATTTTTTGTTGAATGTTGTATTTATTCTTATTAAATAAATGGATAAATGAGAAAACATGATCATTCCTTCTCACTCTAAATGGGCTCGTGAGAGACAGAAATATTGAACATAGGAAGAATTTTACCAATCCGGCTCCTATGTACACTATCGTAAGACAAGAGATTTAAATGTTACTTTTTGTGTAAATTTGAACAATGATTGTAATATAGTAGATTTCGGTTGTTTATAGTATTTTCATGATTAACGCGTAGAAATTTATTGTGTTGTTGTATAATGTTTTGTCTTGAAAAATTTGCGTTTCAGACTTATCATAGTTTACGTTGGAGCCGTCGCGATCTGTCTGACAGTCTTCAATATTATTTAATAATATTGAAGTATTAGTATGAAATACTTAAATATATGAGGATGGAAACATTTTCTTTATTGCTTAGATAATATTTAGCACACAACACTGGGTGGCTTCAAAATCGTTTTTTTTCTTCAGTTTTTTACATTTATACATATTTACAAAGTACAGTCATGCTCAAATTAAACGAAATTATTTTTAAATCTCCTATACGAATTATATAGAATAATAATTAATAAGCATATTATTTGCTAAAATATACACAATTTATTATGGATTTTGCTCTCAAATTGTATATTACAAGCTTGTACTTTAGTCTGTACATAACCATAACTGATTCATTTAAATAAATTTATAATATTGCAGTATTGTAAATATTTATTTATCGTATTATTTCTATAGCATTTTTTTATTTCAATATACATGTTTGTATATCGTTTTGATGTACTCTGTTTTACATTTTCAATGACAATTATTTAAATTCAATACAGAAAAAAGTTAGAGTGTCGGTGGCTCAGTGGTTTAAGCACTTGACTTGTAATCTACAGGTCTTGGGTTCGAATCCCGCTGTACCAATGTGATTTTCGATTTTCATATGTACATAGTTTAACGTTCTTACGGTGAAGGAAAACATCGTGATGCCTGCACATATCGGCGTAGATATTCAAAGATATGTGTGAAGTCAACCAACCCGCAGTGGGCCAGCGTGGTTGACTATGGCCTAGTCACCTAGTGAGCTGGTGATGAATACAGAAAACTAAATTTACTACACTTTTAGTTTTTGTGTGATTGTTTTTTAAACATTTATCATGTTTTTTTTTAATTTATATATTGTTTCATTTATTTAACACATTACGTAGAAATGCATGTTACGAAAAATAGTTAATAACATATACAATACAAAAGTAGTAAAAACTACTTTGTTCATGTTTTCATTAGTTTCTAAACATGTTATAGAACAAGTTTTCAATGCGAGCTCGTGCTTGGACGGAACCTGTCGTAGATGAGACAGAATTGAAGATGAGAGACACTCCGCATGTCGCTCTTAGACTGATTAGAAATGAACTGCCAAAACAAATGGATGAAAAAGTAAGTTTTTTTTTTATAAGAGAAGGGGGCAAATGAGCTGCGGGAACACAGAGGTGGTTAACGACGCCCATGTGCATCCGCAACACCAGAGGAACTACAGATGCGTTGCCGGCCTTTTTTTGTATAAGTTGATAAACGAGTGAACGACCACTGAAATTCGTTGAAGCGAAGCGACCGTTGCCCATAGACATCGAAAGAAGATTCTTTTTTCTAACGTTCACCGATGGAGGGGACGTTGATAGAGGATATATCCCCTTCCTATGTGTCCCAACGTCTGTCTAATCTGTTTCTACTTCCCATCCATTCTTTATAAGAAAATAGGAAGGGATACGGGACTAAAACAAGTAATTTAAAAAAAAATAGATTTTGTGATTTTATAAGTGTACCAAAAAAAAAATTGCACAACAATTCGTTTTGGTTTATTGTTATACCAGAAAAGAGAAACTTTTATTATCTGTGTCCTTATTATATTTCCTTCTCTTTCTATATTTTTTATATGTTAGTTTAAGTTATATTTGTATTTCAGGGTGAATCAGTAGGGCTAGCTTTGTATGAGGAGTTATTGGAGGCTCGATTACGTGATCTGAGCGTGGCTCTCAACATGACCACCGCGTTGGCGCTCGCAGAGTTCGTTGAAGATGAGATTATTGCCCCGCCAATGCCGTTAGAGGTAAACTTTACATGAATTTGTAATCTATACTAATATAAAGAGGAAAGATTTGTATTTTTGTATTGAAATAACTCAAAAACTACTGGACCGATTTAAACTCTTGTGCCATTATCAGTGAGTAACATAGGCTATTTTTTTAATTCCACGCAGATGAAATCGCGAGCAATAACAAGTATTATATATAGTCTGTCACTCTGGGATAATATAGGATTCTAATAGTAAAAGAATCTTTGAAATGTGTCAAATAGTTTTTGAGTTTATTTGTAACAAATATACTAAAACAAAGTATTCTCTATATTTAAGTATACAATTACAATTAAATACAAGCGTCACTTTCTTTAAAATAATTACTTATAAGCATCTTCTTTGAAATTAAAAATAATTATTTCTACCCTCCCCTCTCCAGCATAAACTGCAAACTGACAAGAAAATCCAATATTTCATTACGACGTTCTTCCACAGGTATTAATAGAAAACGTAAAACTCCATTTAATAGAAGACCGTCCAACTCGTTCGATATCCTCTCCTCCACCACAACCCCTGGATGTAGACCTGAGCTCGTTGCGGGTGACGCGCGACAGCACGGGCGTGGTGTACCTCGGCCCGCCCCTCGCCACGCCCTCCACCGTGACGTCACCGGCCACGCCCACGCACCACGATGACGTCACCGACAGGATGGAACAGCTCAGCAAAGAGAACGAGGAGTTGAGAAAACGACTGGTCACATTGGCCAGGATAGCTGAGGATAATAGGGAATTGAGAGCGTAAGTTTTTTAATTTAACTTTCATATGAGATTTTTACACTATATTATACATACTTTATTAATTTTGTTGGGCGAACAATATCTATACTAATATTATTAAGACAATAGATTTGTATTTATTTAAATAACTCAAAAACTACTGGGTCGCTTTCAAAAATTCTTTCACAGTTAGAAATGTAATTTATCTGTGGGTAACATAATCTACATTTTTTATTATTTTTTAATTTCATGAGGACGAAGTCGAGAGCAACAGCTAGTTAGTAAGAAATATACAAAAATTCTCTGCCCTGTCTATAACATATCTCAATATCAAAACAAAGTTAGCGCTAGAGCGACCGCCCAGGGCGCACGTATAACCTGACCCCTCCCTCAAGCATGGTAAAAAGGGCGTCATTGAAATTCGCGCAGGGCGTACTTAATCCGTTACTGTTGAAAACATTATTCAGATCTACTAATATTATAAAATGAAAATTGTATTTTTGTATGTATTGAAATAACTCTAAACTAAACTACTGGGCCAATTTCAATAATTCCGTCACCATTAAATATATATCATTATATGTCTGTGGGGCAAAGGCCTGGTGATCCATCACACAGGGCGCCACCCTAGATTGGACACCAGTCCCCTACCGGGGAAAATTAAAAAAAGTTATTTTTTAAGTTATAAAAACGCTACGTTATCAACGCGTAACATCTATACTATTATAGTAAAGCGTAAACACACACTTCTTTCTTGCCTAAGATGTCAATTACAGCATATTTTTGAATAATTCTTTTTTAATAAAAAGCCCTACACTTACGTCACACTTTAGGCTATATATTTTTACGCCATTAAACTTAGGGCGTAAATTTTTTGGATAAAAACCATAATGTGCTAGGTTATATGGTTTATATTTTTCTTAAATTTCACACGAGCGAAGTCGCGAGCAAAAGTTAAATGTCTATACTTTTGTAAGTCGGATAATATATAGTTTTGCTTGTATTTCAGTAAAGTGGAGGAGGCGTCAGTGCTGAAGCAGTGCGTGCACGCGGCGCAGCAGGAGGCGGCTGGCTTGCTGGCGGATAAGCAGCAGCTGTTGGACGTCGTGCGAGGCTTGCAGGTTGGTTCAAATATATACTAGCTTTGCAAGATATCTACGTGGAATTAAAAAAAAATAAAAAAGGTAGGCTATGTTTTCTTCTAGAATATGTTCTACACCTTAGGCAAATTGTTTAGTGATCTGTTGAATCTTTTTGGTGATCATATCTAACAAACATCTGTCTAACTAAAATCTATTTTTTTATTTTAGTAAAAAGTAAGATTTCTATAACAATCTATTGAATTTGACAGTGGTAGTGCCTGCTTTAACATCTCAGCACTGCAGGGCCGGCACGCCCGGTGTAATATCACGACCACACAGAAGACAGCCGTCAAATGGAAGCAATTCCGTGTTTCGTCTGATGAGTGTGGTCCCGGAGGCCTAATTTAAGTCCCTTTCTCTTTACCACCCTTTTCTTATGAGAGGTTGGGAAGAGGAAGTGGATTTGCCGGTGGAGGAGATGCATAGAAAGGGGAAATATCCTCTTTATGTGCGTCTTCTCTTCCCTCTTATAAGGGTAGGCAACACATCTGCAATTGCGGATGTCTATGGGCAGCGGTCGTTTGCCACCTTATGTTATAAAAAAAAACAATGAACCCCTAGAGTTAGAGGAAGTTTAGTTAAAAATATTTAAATGAAAGATGGCGATGTAGAACTTAATTATTATCAGCCTTTAATCGAAGGACGTATTATGAACTACTAGCTTTCGCCCGCGACTCTATCCCCGTGGAATTGAAAAAAAAACAAATGTGAGTAGCCTATGTGTTCTTCCAGACTATCTACATCTATACCAAGTTCATCGAAATCCGTTCAGCCGTTTCGGCTAAAAAACTCTAACAAACATCCATGCATCTAAACTTTCGCATTTATAATATTAGTATGACTGTTAGTGAAAAATAATAACAACCAATTAATGAAATCGGTCCCGTAGTGTTTGAGTTATTTCAATGTATATAATTATCCAAACACACAAATCTTCTCTCTTTGTAACATTAGTAACATCGTATAGATTATGTAGATACCCCATAATTATTATGAAATCTGTGTACTTTTTTCAGGAGCAATTAAGTGGTGTTCGCGGAAAAAGGTAGCGGTCCCGCAGCGGCGCGCAGCAGTGCCTCGACTGCACGGCGTGCTGCGGCGACCGACGTTAGAACCCCCGCGACGCACGTGCTGCACCGCGCCGGGGGTCAGCCTACGCTGGCTAGAACATACGTTCTTCGAGAGATAAATTTTGTAAACTAATGTTTATGATATTTTATATATTCATCAGTAATTTAGTGAAGTGAAATTGTAAAATATATGTTAATTTTGTACGATCGGATTTAATGGAAATGAGAAATTGTATAGACATGTCACTTGACAATGTCTTTTATTGTCTATGGATTTATTTTGTTACACCTGTCTGTTATTAATAAGTCTACGATTACAGCCTTATAAAGGTGAAATTGTTTAGATATGTTTGTTTTAATTTCTTATTTCAATTGAATTCGACTAATTCAATATGAGAAAATATCAATTTCAGAAAATTTTTCGTTTACAAAGTTTAGATCTTGGAAATAGTAACTGCCTATAGAATTTTTACGCGATAAATAATTACTTATAGTAAATTAATTACCATTAATTCGAACTCAGATTGAAAAAATAGATGCGTTAGATTTGAATAACATATCGGCTCTTATGTAGACTGTTGTAAGTCATAATTTTGCGATTTCAACTTTCATCATCACCAGCTCACTATACGTCCCCACTAGAAAAAGAACTGTACCTTTTAGTTGTCTTTACTAATAAAGAGGAAAGATTTGTTTTTTTGTATGTATTGAAATAACTCAAAAACTACTCGAGTTTTTAAAAATTCGTTCACCATTAAAAGCTATGGCATCAAGTAACATATGCTATATTTTTTACTATTTTTATTTCACGCGGATGCAATCGCGAGCTCCAGCTAGTTTATTATATTTGTATCAGTTTATATTTGATGTGATTTAATTAATTTTATTATTGAAAGTTTTGCGAAATATGCGTTTTCAAGATACGATAGTTTACGTAGGAGCCATTAATATTTTGATTCGCTTTGACAGTTTATACCAGTAAATAGAAATGGAATAATTATTTTTTTTATAACATAAGGTGGCAAAGGAGCAAACGGCCACCTGAATCCGCCAAAATGGCGAAGCGACCGCTGCCCATAGACATCCGCAATTGCAGATGTGTTGTCTACCCTTATAAGAGGGAAGAGAAGACGCACATAAAGAGGATATTTCCCCTTCCTATGCATCTCCTCCACCGTCAAATCCACTTCCTCTTCCCATCCTTTCATAAGAAAAGGGTGGTAAAGAGAAAGGGACTTAAATTAGGCCTCCGGCACCACACTCACATCAGACGAAACACGGAATTGCTTCCACTTCACGCCTGTCTTCTGTGTGGTCGTGGTATTGCACCGGGCGTGCCCTGCACTGCTAACACGTTAAAGCGGATAGAATAGTCCGACATATAAAAAAAAACAAATAGTGAACAAGTCGCAAATTAAATTAAGTTATGTATTTATGCCTTAAAGACATATGTGGTTTTATAATAATATGGAAATTTTTATTTATCATTGTAATTAAATATTTAAAGGCAAGAATACTTAATCTGAAAATAGAGGCTAAATATGACGCTTTGACGTTTTTTTATAACGGACGTCATATGTTTATTTCTTTAGAGCATTTTTTTTAAATTCCTTTTTTAAATGTTTTGATTCAATATACTGCTGAAGATTCTAGAATATTTTTGTCATGCAAATGAAATGTTGATAATAGTACATTTTTTTTTCCTTTAATCAAAGGTGCTATAAGATTTATGAAGAATTAGATCAAATGGTTATCATTATACCATATGTTTGCATTTATTATTTATTGTTTTGAACAATCCTCAAATTATTGTGTTTTTAAATAATTTTCGGCTGAATACTGAAACGAAAATCTTATTTTTGTACACGCTGCTTACAGATGTCATTTTTATTGTTATTTGGAGTTTAAGCATGAGTTTAACCTTATCATTTAAGATTCTGTTACATTTTAAAATGTTGTTTCAGTATAAAACCGTTCAGTGTCTCCCTAATAAAAAAAATAGGGCCTGTCCCACCATTAGCTGATAATCTCAGATAGGTGAAACGTGACGTCACTGTCAGATACAGTATCAAAATCCAATACTTCCATCATATATTTTATACGTTGGATTGTTGTCCGACATTTTACAAGAATTAGTCAAGCCCTAAGTTTTTGAAGACATTTTAATTTGATCATATTAGTTTGTTTTCACTAGAATCTCTATTATTTGATCAGACGATGAAAACTATGTAATGTTTATTAACTAATGTAAAATGAAATATTTGTATTTTTGTAATTAAAATGAGGTGCCTGTTTTTATACATATAACAATTTTATTAATTCTTAAAACTCTTTTTTTTATAATATATAACATACGGTGGCAAACGAGCAAGCGGACACTAGAATCCGCCAAAATGGCGAAGCGACCGCTGCCCATAGACATCCGCAATTGCAGATGCGTTGCCTACCCTTATACGACGGAGGAGGAGACGCACATAAAGAGGATAATTCCCCTTCCTATGCATCTCCTCCACCGTCAAATCCACTTCCCCTTCCCAACCTCTTCAGAAATGGGGAAAGGGATTGGCTCCTGCAGCACAGGGGAACCTAGTGCAGGAGTCAAGGCTCTCATTAAATGTATATATTTTTAAAGTGAAGTAATACAGGATTTATTCATTTATTTATTATTTATTTATTAATTTTGTCTTTTTAACTTCGTATGTTTTTCATTTTTTAACTTACATCTTCAATAATTTTGTCAAACACTAAACTGTTAAGTCATTGGTGGGCTTAAAAAAATTATATAAACATAAAAGATTAGCAATAACTATGATATTTAACATTTTGTAATACATATGTTTGACATAATAATATTAACGTATATAACTCAATTTATAATATATACTGCTTGTATTCTTCCAAACGCTTTCTATATTATCATATTATTAATCATATAATCAAGCTGTAAATATTAAAAAAATGACTAAGCTTTTAATATTATATAGTATTTTGTATTTAAATTATCTATAAAAATTACAGTTGTCTAAAAGATACAATATAGTACGGCAAACTTGTCTGACCCGATAAGGCTCTTGTATTATTATTTCTGACAGAAATGGATGTTATAGCGTTTCAAAGTGGTATTTTAAATTTTTTATTTATCACTCAGATAAGTTTGTCTATACTATACAATAAAATTGAAATAGGCGTAATAAAACGTCATTTGTTAAAATGAAACTTGATATATTGTTGTATTTTTACGTTTATAATATAAAGGGTCTGTCCTACCAAATTGTAAATAGTCTGATAACGTAACGTGTAAAATATTTGAAGGATATATCTGATTTTGTTCTCTTATCTGACAGTGACTTGATTTTTAAGCTATCTGAGTATCAGCCAGTGGTGGGACAGGCCCATCATCTCAAAACATGTCATGAAACTATTATAAGTGTACAGACCTTTTGTCTAAATGTATTAACGTGTATTTAAAAAAGAAAACTATTGCTATCTCTGTTTTCCAAAGAGAATAAGAGGGATAGCAATATCGTAATCAGATGTTATGGGCCATGGACATTCACCCTATTATAATTGAATTGTGCCTGTAACGTAAATATGTAACTGGCTGCATAATATTTAAACATTTTGCTTCGTGTATATCAATGTCTTCGTATTTACTAATTATATTCAATATCTTAACTATTACATCTTAGAATTTAATTGTTTAACATTTTGTACTATTATGTTTATCGACATATTTTGGTTTATTGTATTTACTTTTAACAATACTTTTTACATTTCTTGTTTATGACGAGAGTATGATAATGTAATTCGTTTTTTAATCATTTTATATAGGAATTTTATAAACGTTGCAGTTTTGAATAAAATGGTTGATAGTTCAGTTACAAAGGAATTGTTAATAAATTTGATATTGCCAGATGCAGTTTTAATGACCCTATTATATTTATTTTTTTTAATTGATGACGATATTTGCAAATGCAAGTCTTACAGAATGTAGACAACAAATTAAAGTTTCTATGAAATCGTGCGAATACGAGAACAGTTAGTATCTAAAAGAAAATCTAAAAAATCTGAGAAGGAAAACTGCTGTATTCGGAGTGAAGAGATATTTTAAATCGATATTTTACGAAGGTAAGAAATGTTTCCTATAGAAAAATTAATTTAACGCTGAAACTATAAATTGATTTCTATTTCATAACAATATTAGATATCCCTCAATTTGATTCAGTGTTTAACTCTTGCGTTAAAAAAAAGAACTTTTTAAATTTTGACGTTTGTATTTGACATGTGTGTGGCAATACTGACACGTGAGCATAGAAATAACGTGACTTTCTAAAAGTGGCAACATTTTTAGTGATGGCCGTCAGTCGCTTGGGATGGATGTGAGTGACCGTTACTGAATATTAGTGTTAAAAATTATCAAGTTTCATTCGACACTGTGGTTACATGTGAATTGAATTATATTCTCAAACATTTTGTGTGTATTTGTGTATTCTCTTGTGACTAAATTTTATGTGCTATTGAATTAATGAATGTTTGTTGTGTCCTTTAAAATAATAGGATAAAAGTGATTATTATATTGGATTACGGATTTCTCTGTGTATAATTAACAAACTACGGGTAAGTAAGACCTAAGATTATTTTTAGTTAGTACTTCGAGGTGTGCGTTTTTTTGCCACGAATGCCTCCGTCTTGAATAGTTGCTAACGTACAAGATAACGGAAGATTACAGTAGATTGCGTTGATTTTGATAAGATAGGAACATCACGAAAGATTCTAAACCGCGAACACTTTTCTAATATAACCTTCTTTTATATATTAGGCAGTGTAAAGCGCACTTGAAGACTGCAAATGTTCATGCTCTATTTCTCCCTGAATGTTAAATTTCGAAATATTTTGAAGTGAATGTAGAAGTCTGTACAGTTCAGATTATTATCATTACTCATACTGTGGTTATGATTCAAGGCACATGTTAAACATATTAAGATTTTGACTGGATTTAGATTCAGATTGTAAGGCTAATTTTCAGTTATTTATTATTACACTTTGTTGTTATATAAATTTTATTATCATGTATAATTTCAATGTTGTGATTGACTTTTTACGTTTTTTAATTCTCTTAGTTGTGAATAATATATCTGCACAAAACTTTTTTTAAAAATCGCCTTTGTATTCCTTTATGTGTACTGAGTAATTTATATTGCTTTTCATTTTAATATCAATGTTTAAATGCGACTTGAAATTTGTTATCAACTTGTCAAAATGAAGAAAATAATGTGAGTTTTAAAATATGATAGTTGTTATGTCTATAGCCTTATATTGTCTATAGGTCTATTATATTGATGAATATTGATCTATTAAGATATAAATAACAATCACTTAACATACTAGATGAATATTTCCTAAATTATTTTTTTAAGATTTAGAACAATTATAGGAAAATAGTATAAAATTGCAATGTTACATAATAAGCAATGTAAATGCAAGTTGTGTTTTTTTGTTAAATAAAACAATTGTACAACCTTCAATGTAAGATATTTACATACAATTGCTTAGTTACTTAAGCAGAAAAAACTGTGAAAAATAGTGTTGCCAATTATTTGGAAGAACAGCCTATCCTGTTTTAATTTTTGTATATCTATAATTGATTCTTCCTAAGTTAAGCATAGCAAAAAATTTAAGTATATAATAATATACTACCCTTTAGCAAAAACAGTTAAGTGACTCGTAAAATAGTTCCAATAATAATGTAATTAAAGTAAAGAAAACATTTATTTTTTCAATAATATCTTTTTCACTCTATTTTGTGCCTGAAACAAAAAATGTAGGCAATAATTACACTATTCATGTAGATATTAAATAATAATAATTTGGGACTATCCATTTACAGTATTGACAACACTACTCATACTGAACAAATTTTGTTATTATAGACAATGAAGTAATCCTTGTACTATGAAATGAAGTCATCGCAATACTCATTATACAAAGATCGGCCAGTTATTAAACATTACTATTAGTATTCTGCTGTAATGCAAGTGTGTTGCTAATTATGGTATGGGTTACATCATTTATATAATCATATGTAATATTAGACTTGACAGAGGAGGTGATGCATCCTATGAGGAGATATCTTCTTTATGTACATCACCAGCATGTATTAAAGTTGGACAACCCTGCATCAAACAGATGACTGGGCAGTGATTGCTAAATTTGAGTGTCCAAGTGGACAATGAGCAAGCGCTCATCTGCCACTTAGGAATAAAAAAATCATAATAGACTCCTAAAACCATGGACTATATAAAAGTGTCAATATATGCTGGGCGACAGCATGCAAAAATCACAGTAATTATAATGTTATCTGAATACAAAACAAAAATAATGCTATTTGCCTTGTTCTTTGGAGACCTTTAAGATGTGAAAAGTATTGTATCTCACCCACATGTTCAGGCCCAACAGATATGATCACCAACTCATCTTGATGGGATAAGTTGCCAGCAAAAGGTGTGTTGGTCGTCACAAGAAACAAAAATGGACAGGAATTGCAAGTGCTACCCAACTATTTTGTCTTGCAAGAGATAAAGTCAAATTCGCTAGTCAGAGAGGCACCTTCAGAATATGCCTTGTTCTACAGAAGCTTCAAATAGAAGAGATATTGACAAAATTAATCTCATAATTTTCTAAATAAAATGCATAAGCACATATATTTGTATACTTATTCGTAGTGTAGTCTAGCTAGGCTAGCTAAAATAATGTTTATATCTTATCAAAATAATAACCTAGATATGTTTTCTTGCAACATTAATGTTAAACTAGTTTGTTGTGTTGACATCAATAACCTGTTTTTAAAACAGTTTCATTCTGCTGTGAATCAGTTCACTTTTAACGTAATCAATATTTATAAAATGCATATTCAATAGTATTATGCAGCTTTTGTATGTTTGTGCAAGAGTAGATAATAATTAAAATATTTGGACTCATTTATTAACTACTAGCTGTTGCTCGTGACTTCTCCTGCGTGACATTAATGAATAATAAAATATATATCTTATGTTACTCACTGATAACATAGCTTTTTAATGATGTAATGAATGAATTTTTGAAATTGGCCCAGTACTTTTTTAAGTTATTTCAATACATAAAAAATCCGAAAATACAATTTTTTTCTCTTTTATTATTAGTATGATGAATAGTTATACCATCTATTGACTGTTTTTCAAAACTGCCCATATTTATTTAACATTTATACACCAGTTTTAATTTTACAAAAATGTAAAAGATGGTAAAGCTCACTATCAAAATTCATCTCAATCAATAATTTGCTTTGATTGACACTAATTTAGGTTTGTAACTATTGAATTAAAATGATTGTCACCCTATCAAATCGGTATCCTTAATGTCCAGTGCAAATGTTTATTAAATGTATTGTTTCACCATGGGCAGGTAATGGCCAGCGCAACGCCGCGGTATTAACGGTATTCGGGGATTGCTTGCACCGGTTAACCGTGGCAAGGTCGTGCGCCCTGTCACAGACTAACTGTTATTCAATAATGTATTCTATTATGAATGCTGTAAGATATTTTATTGTGTAATTAAAGTTTGTACCGTGACAAGTTATGTACATAATCGTCCAGTTACTGCACAAGCATGAAACTAATGCTATTACATATGGCTTTGGCCCACTTTACGGGTTATTTGAAATATGTATACGGCACTTGAATTATTTCCGATTTTTCGTAAAGTGCCTTTATGCTTGCTCTAATTAACGTTATCTGATTTTTTAATAATATTTTATCTTTATTCTTATTTGAAATTGTTAAAACCTGTGCAATCTTAACGATTATTTTTAAGATTTTTTCTATATTCCAGTCATTTAAATTTTTAAATCTTTTGAAATAAGTGTTGTTTATTTATCACTAAGTAATCTGGTTGTAGTGAATGAATATGCAAGTTCCTGTATTAAGTGTGAAAATTTTCGTTGAAATTAAGTTAGGTTATAAATTAAATTAGATACCATATATCCGTAGTATAAACATTAATGACCGGAACTTTGCAATTTCGGATAATCTGAACGCCCGCTATATTTGTTTTTAATACGCGCTGTAATGTGATTTCACTTAGTTTAAATGCCAAAAGTATACGTATAGCAGAACACCTGATTTTATTTGAACAGGAAAAATCCATATGCTTCTTGGAATTAACTGTTAGCTTTTTAACTATTTTTATATATTCTGTATGAAGGTTATTTAGTCTCTGCTATAAATCAATACCATTCATCTTTATTTAAAATAACAATAGAAACTTTGTAATTGTGATCCAACACGTTATTTAAATATTTATGTCATAGTTTTAAAATGTCGGAATTCTACTTGTTATGTTAATAATCGGACAGTAGTCAGATGTCAGAAATAAGGGTGTTACATTGGCTCAACACGACGGCCATATAGGTATTGGCGAGCGTTGATACATGGAAAAACGGTGTTATTGGTAAGGTTATTCTGTGCAGATTGGAATAAAACATAAGAGGTAAAGAAAACTATATTTTAATTAAGCATAACATGGCTGTGACGCCCATATAACGTAGAAACATGAATTGTAAATTTGCTAAATTGCACTATGTTTAGTGTAAATATTCCATTTTTTTTTGTTATTTTGGCTTACGCTAACAATTTTTTTATCTTATTCTGTTATATCAAGTAATCTGGCCCTCCTTCGGATGTATTACTGTACAAAATATAACAGTTACGTCCATCGGATATCCTTACTGCTCACAACACCGGTCTCGTCCGGCACGGGCAATGAAAACGCGCGCCCGGTTTCGCAACCCGTCTGTACAGTTCACGGAAACCTGTGGAAATTGGAAACGTACCGGATCTTAGGAATGCTAATCCGATGACCCTCGGGCTCACGGTTTCCGATTTTACGTTCCGTTTAAACGTTTTTAGAAGTTTTCAATTAAAGGAAATTAATAATTGATTATCGAACAGTTAAATCGTAAAATTAGTTGTGAATGTGCTAGTTTTCGAAGAAGCCGTGTTACATTGTAAGTAAATATAGCTATTTTACAATAAGATTTTTATTTACTAATGTTTCACTATCAGACTTTGCAATACTTTAATAACACTCGTGTCCTTAAATATTTTTACAATACCACTATGAATTTTATCCTTGTGCTTAAATAACTTGGTACCATCCAAGTGTTAATTGTACTGAAAAAGGAAGTATGATTTAGTACACATTGTCTTGTCCGTACCGAGCTACAACAATTGCTAACGGCCTCGATTTAATGGATGACTAATGGACACTTTTCTTTAATTCTGACTCGTATGCTTGTATGAACCAGGCGGTCTGTTCTCTAACAAATTGTGTTACGGTTTGTTTTAATTCTCATTTGAATTGGAATCTTCCGAACGGTCGGCTTTCAATTATCGAATTAATATCACACTACTAGCTTTCGCCCACAACTCCGTTCGCGCGGAATTAAAAAATAAACTTTGTAACTGACCTACGTGTTCTTCCAGATTGTTTTACATCTGTGCCCATTTTGATCGATATCGGTTCTGTAGTTTAGGCTACAAACAAAAACACATCCATCCAAACTTTGTTAAATACTAGCTTTC